CACATGCTGCCTCCTTATCAGTTCCAGCAGTTCAGACGGGAGAGAGACTGGAATAGCCGAGTAACCTATCTCTTAATAAACCACCCCACCACTGGGCCCAAGAGTTTATTTCCAATCCTGTCATAACCTGGTCCCCACACCTCCAGTCTAATCTTTCCAGGAGTTGCTGTTGAGATTTGCTTATTCTTTTAACATATTGTAACTGCACATCAAATATGTGTCAACTATTATGTTAGGCATTAGGTATCCATGATGAACAGAGCATATATATCTCTGTGCTCATGGAACATAGAGGGTCGGGGAAACAGCATTTACTTGTACATACATGGTACTTTCTATATATACGTGCATGCATGGTAAGTATTATATGTTGTTGTTGTTATGTGCCGTCGGGTTGCACCCGACTCATAGCAACCCTTACTTGGGTTTCCAAGGCAGTATCACTATGGAAGTAGATTGCCCAACCTTCCTTCTGAGGAATGACTGGTGGGTTCGAACCGCCAGCCTTCTGGTTAGCAGTCAAGTGCCTTAGGCACTACGCTATCAGAGCTCCCAAGTATTATATAGTATATGAAATACACATATGTATATCTGTGATATATGTGTCCTCACATCTCACTGCTTATCCAAGAGAGAGGGTCTGAGTCTCTTAGTTTCAATTTTTAAAACCCCAGGACAGGGCTTTGATAGATCAAGTGTCTAACCTTGTGGTAAGAATGTGTGTATGTGTGTGTGTGTGTGTATTCAGATTGATTGTAATAATTTCTTTGAAGAACAAATTCTATGCAAGTGTGATATTAAAATAATAATAATAATAAAACAGAAGTACAGCATAGGCACCTAACCATCAAAACAGGAATATAATCAGAATGAAGATAATCTATGAACATCTCTACTACCAATCCTGGTATGAGGTAACTGAATGGCACTGCTGGTTCTGTGAAAGGAATATACATTTCATCCCTAATTTTGAAGCACCTGACATTTGAGCTGAGACAAAAGAATAAGGAATTAGGTCAAAGGGAGAAGGGTAAAGAGAATATTCCAGGAGAGGGATGTGTGAAAGCCCTAAGATCCTGTTCCCTCAGGCCATCCCATCAGGAGCCACCAGGTTAATGGATATATAATAGGCAAGTCACTAATGCCTAGTGAGTAGAGCCATGTGAATCTCTGAGATGTAGGTAGGGCAGTGACGTGATCTAAGGTACTACTGCTAATATGATTACGAGCATAACATGAAGTCAGTGCTTATTAGGCACTGTTCTGGTTACCTAGTGCCGCCCTGACAAGTATATGCCACAAATGGGATGCTTGAACAAACAGGAGTTTATTCTCTTACAGTTTGAGAGGCTAGAAGTCCGAGTTCCAAGTGCCAGGCTCTAGGGGCTGGGTGAAAGCCCCTCCACCTTGGATTTCAGCTCTGCCTCTTGCTCCTGCCCCACTGAAGCTAGAGGCGTCTCTTTACTCAAGCAGCTACTGGCTGCTGAGGCTAACAAGCCCAAGGTCGACAAATAAAATGGCACAATCCCGATGTTACCAAACCACATGGCAGGCCGTTAATTCAAGTCCGTTAAAAGCCCCAAGGTCGGCAGAGCATGGCAGGCTGCTGAACAACAACACGGCTATATGCAGGGTTCAAGCTGGCCATAAGCTAGAGACCATTCCCCAAGGCTTCTTTTATACAGGAAGCGACCACATTCCCTAAGGCAGCTCCTCAGCTGCTCACAGTAGATTCCACCATGGAGTTGATTACCAGTCTCATCATGGGGAATACTACAGCTGCCCAGCTACTCAACCAGGCCCAGCCAAGTTGACACACAAACTGAACTACCACAGGCACATTAAATGTACTTGTCTTAGTATTGATGGGTTTTAAAACCCAGGCCTAAGTCAAGCAATTACTATGTGGTATTCACCTAATCATAGTTATTGGTTCAGGTGTGAGTGACTGTATGACCTAAAATGGCCTGATCAGAGCACAGGGAAAGATCTTTGTTCCATTGCTCTGGGAAAGACAGTGTTCCCTCCCACTGATTTGAACAGAAAAGCACATAGCCCCTCCTGCTCCTGGGAGTTCTGGTCTATGAACTTCAAAGGAAACAGTCTTAGGTTAAAGCAAAGTGAGTAGCAAAATGAATCTTGCTTTGTCTTTGATGATCCTGTTGGGCTACATCAACTCTAACGTTTGTTTTACTGCTCTCTTAGTTCTCCAGGGCTGCTGTAACAGCAACAAATGGGTGACTTTAACAAACAGGAATTTCTTTTTTTACAGTTTAGGAACCTTGGGCTTCAGCTCTGCCTCTTGTTCCAGGCTCACTGGAGCTGGAGGCATCTAACTCAAGCAGCTGCTGGTTGCTGAGTCTGACGAACCCAAGGTCAGCAGGTAAAACGGCACAATCCCAAGATCAGCAGGAAACACAGCAGGCTACTGGTTTAAATCCAGGAACTAGAGATGAAAACTCAGCCAAATATAGAATCCAAACATGTCCAAAATGCTGGAGACCTTTCCCAAAGCTTCTCCTTATATACTGGAAGCAGGTCACACCTTCAGGGTAACACCTCTGCAACCACTTAGCTGCTCACAGCAGACTCCACTATGGAGGTGATTATAATCTCATATGGGAAATAACTACATCCAGCTGCCAAGCCTTTCAAAACCACAGCCAGTCATGTTGACACACAACCTTAACTACCACAATTGCTGAGCAGCCTGTCATGGAAACCACTGTATTTGATTTCTTGTTTAAGCTGCCTTTCCTCAGATACACCAGGCACACTTCCAAGTCTGAGAGTTTGCACTGGCTTTTGCTTCTGCCTAGAAAACATCTCCAGCAGTGCAACTGGCCAGTACACTCACTTTTTCAGGTGTTGCTTAACCTTCATCTTTTAAGGGCCTTCTCTGACCATCTTAATAATACAGTCAACCCTTTCCCCGCCCCCCCACTCCTAAACCCTCTTACACTGTTCTATTTTTCTTTTTTTCTGTAGCACTACTATTTCTTATGTTATTTATAATCTGTCTCCTTCCTCCCTACAATGTAGGCTACCCCCAAAGAATCTCTTTGATAAATTCTGAGAATCTAGTACAGTGCCTGCAGGAGCTCTGCTGGCGTAGTCCCTCAGGCATTTGACTGCTAACCAGACGGCTAGTGGTTCAAACCCACCAGCCATGCCTCAGAAGGATGACTGGGCAATCTACTTCTGTAGAGGTACTGCCTCGGAAACCCAAGGAGGGGTTGCTGTGAGTTAGAATCATATCAATGGCAGTGAGTTTGGGTTTGTTTTTTTTTTTTTTTTTTTTTGATAGTATAGTGCCTGGTACAGAGTAAGTGTAGATATTTGTTGACTGACTGAAAATGTGGATAAAATACCTATTCACAGAAGTTATTGTAGGGATTAAATGATATAACATGCAAAGCTCCTGACACACGATGGACACACAACAAATGTTAGGTCCAGGCCCTCCCTATTTTTCCATCTCCTGTTCTTACAGGCTGTTCCACTAGCCTCTCCCGAATTTTTTACTATTAGAGTCTCCCCTTTGAGTTAAAACCCAGAAAAATCTTACAAAAGGCCACAAATGTCATCTGAGAAAAGGAGATTGGAGACCAGCTATACCCATTACCATATCTGTTTATCAGATTAACAAATTGTTACCTGGAGAAGCAGAGAACACTGAGGAGATGCACAAGTATATGTTTTTGTTGTTGGAATTGGAGGTTTATTGCACTGATTTTTTTTTGCCCTTGGATGTGGGCAAATATCAGAAAAATATGGTAGGCTTCACTGATTTGCATGTCATCCTTGTGCAGGGGCCATGTTAAACTCTGTATCGTTCCGGTTTTATTGCTGCTGAAGTAAGCACTAGTGCACTAACTTTAAAAATTAACTTTACTGAAGTACAATCTACACACAATAAAAAATACACATTTTTAAGTGTACAGTGTGATGAGTTCTGACTAATGTGTAGGTTTGGGAATGGAGAGGATTAAGGCCACCTGGGATTAAGCAGGACCAGGGATTCTGAAGAGGGATCCTGGTTAGGAATAGAACATCATCAGGGCTCTTGGGAAACATATACAAATAGTTGGAGGCACTTAGAGCCAGCCTCAACTTGGTCCTGGGGTATCATTGCGCTAGGCTCTGGACCTCTGAAATACCTGCCAACTTCATGCACCTCTTGGCCCTCCTGAGGGAGTGGGCCAGCTCCTTTTCTCGCCAACACACATCTGTTTAGGCCTGACGTGAGAGTTTAGACATTGGTCCCTTCCCTCAGCACCGCAATTCTCCTGCCATCGTCCTTGCCCCCGTCCCCGCCCACCAGCGGGGGGTGCGCCAGCCCGTGACAGCCACGCTTCAACGCTACCACCACACCCACAGGGCTTGACAACTTCTTCAGCCTTGGTAAGAAACTTGCTCCAGGTCTTCCGCAGTACCACGGGCGAAAAAGCAAAAGCCACACTGCGCCGGGTGTTGGCGCCAGGAATCCCCCGGGAGTGCGCGGGCCCTGTTTAGGGTCCCACCATTCTCTGGTCTCTGGGGGCTGGTGGCTTCAGAGGCGCGATCGACTGAGTGCGTCCCTGCCCCTCTGCGGCTGAAACCCTGAAGGGGTTGCAAGTGCAGCATTACTTAGAGATCTCGGCAACTAAGAGTTTAGATTGACTGGGGAAACAGAAACAACTGGCGATTCTGGGTGAGGGGTCCGAAGCTGGCCAGACTTTCTCCCAAACTGGGATAGCCCCATTCGAAAGTCCAAAGCCGTCCACATCAATTTAAGAAGAAACGGCTGGAGTCGGCGGTGAAGGCTCCGGGGTGCGAAGCACCGCCCACGAGTCTGGGAAACCTCCCAGGTGGTGCTAACTGGGGGCGGGGGCGGGGTCCTGAAAGAGGGCGGGGCAGACCTGGGCTGCAGGGCGTGCCAGTGAAACCCAGTACAGCCGAGGTGGCAGTGGTGGCCCTCGCCTGTGGCCCCGGTTCGCCTTGCGCTGGACCTTATCGCCATGGAAGGACCCCAGGAACCTCTGAGTGGGAAGCTCCGGCTCTGCTTCTCCCCGGCTGCCCGGACCAGCCTCCTGCTGCTCAGGCTTAACGACGCGGCACTACAGGCGTTGCAAGAGTGTCAGCGGCAACAGGTGCGGCCGGCCCCTGCCCCCTTTTCCCCAGCCCCTTCTCCTAGGGGTCTCTGGCGCTAGCTGGCGACCCTAAGAAACCTGGGGAGGGGAAGCGGCATCCGCAGACTCCCGCCTTTCCACCTCTCCACGGGAATCCTACAAGGTAGGTGCTCCCGGGTCCCCAACGTCTAATCCTGAGAACGACCCTTCACCTTAGCTCAACTCGTGTTGGTGCTCTTCCCCCAGGTACGGCCAGCGATCGCCTTCCAAGGCAACCGCGGGGTAAGTGCGGGCCCGGGGTGTTTGAGGGAGGTGGGGGAGCCACATACAGGGCAGCAGCAGTCAGGGCCAGCGGGTGTGAGCAGTCATGGTCTGAGGAAGTTCCGGGAACTGAGCCCTGAGTGCGGCAAGGGGGGCTTCTGGGGTTGCAGTCCCAGGAGGCTGTGGTTAAGGAGACTATGCTGTCTTGGCCTCTTGGGGAACTCGGGCTCAGCTGCACCTGTTGTGCTAATGAGCCCCCAGGGACCCACCTTCTGTTCCAGGCTGGCTCAGGGAGGAGTGGCATTGGCAGGAGGGGGAAGGGACTGGCTTCATGGGGCTTACTGTCTCCTTCTACCCCCAGTATCTGAGGCTCCCAGGCCCTGGCTGGTCCTGCCTTTTCTCCTTCATAGTGTCCCAGTGTGGTCAGGAAGGTCCTGGTGGCAGCTTGGATCTTGTGTGCCAAAGGTTGGGCAGGTAAGTTGGGAGCAGGTAGCAAAAAATGTTCTTGGTTGGGTTGAGTGAGTAGAGAAGTTTGAAAGTTCTTCACCCTCCTGTTTTTTTCACCACCCCTTTCCAGATCTGGTCCTAACCGCCTCCACTGCCTGGGCCCACTCAGGGAACGCCTCACCATATGGGCAGCCATGGATTCTATCCCAGCTCCATCTTTAGTTCAGGGACACATCCTGAGTGAAGCCAGAGATCCAGAGAGTTGGCAGAATACTGGAAATGATTCTGAAGGAGATACAATATCACAGCCACAGGTGGCACTAGAGGAAGTAAGGCCAGAAACTGCAAGGAGTTGGGGATAAGGTGGGGCAAAGCCTGATGCCCAGGAAACCAAGTGCCCCTACCACTTTCCCTGCCAGGTGCCAGATCTGCTGGCAACCAACCAAGGACAGTCACTCCCAGGATCCTCCAGGGAACACATGGCACAGTGGGAAGTGAGGTACTTGGGGCAGGGTGGGATAAACAGAGAGGCCCTGGCATTGTCTTCCTTTTTAATCTCCACCCTAAAATGCTGTAATAAGAGATCTAGCCCCACCCCCTTCCCTGGTCATCTTATTTTCTGCAAACTCTAGGAACCAGACTCATCTTCCAAACAGCAAGCCTGATCAGAAACTCTCTTCCTCTGCCAGCCAGAAATATCTGGACAAGGTAAGTTGTGATGGCAAGGGCTTTTCAAAGAACTTTTATCAAGTTGCGATTAAAAAATTAGGAAGCCCTCATTTTGAAGTTCACAGAGCTCATTATATGGAAGGTATTTTCAAGTGGGACTTGAAGGGCAGAATAGATACTGGATTACTGTCTGTGTGACACAGTTATTTTCCCCAACAGAAACGTCCAGCATCTGCAGCCAGTACGGAACTAAAAGAAAAGAGGCTCAGAGCTCTGCCTCTAGCTCCAAGTCCCCTACAAGAGCTGCCCAGTCAGGACCTACAAGAGGAAGACTGGGAACAAGAAGATGAAGACATGGGTCCCAGGCTGGAGGACAGTCCTTCAGTTCAAGCAGGTGAGAGTTAATGAAAGGAGGGTAAAAATGACATAGCAGGAAAAAAACCTAAAATCACCTTTGTGTCTTCTTGGTTCCTTTGTAGACTCTGAATCCCCAAGCCCTGAAGAGATACCAGACTACGTCCTGTGAGTCCCCTGCCATTTCCATTCTAATTTCATCAAGCCTTGAACATATGTCCTATTCCTCCTCCCCTTACATTAAGACGAGGAGCTCTGGTGGCATAGTACCTAAGGCATTAGACTGCTAACCAGAAGACTGGCTATTCAAACCTACCAGTCACTCCTCGGAAGGAAGGTTGGGCAATCTACTTCTGTAGTGATACTGCCTTGGAAACCCAAGGAGGGGTCGTTATGAGTCAGATCCAACTCCACAGCAGTGTGCTTGGTCTGGTTACATGAAGACAAAACTTCCTGGGAGTTGGGAACTTTTGGGGAGTATGAAATTGAAGGGAACTCTCTGCCCCTGGCAGGCAATACAGGGCCATCCAGAGTGCAGAGCAGCAACACGCCTATGAGCAAGACTTTGAGACAGATTATGCTGAGTATCGTATCCTACATGCCCGTGTTGGAGCTGCAAGCCAAAGATTCATAGAGTTGGGAGCAGAGATCAAGAGAGTTCAACGAGGAACTCCTGAACACAAGGTAAGGACTGGACCAGGCTGGCTCTTCTGCTCTATTGGCCATTGCTGTTTTTAGCTGCCATCACATCAGCACTCTCACTCACAGTGACCCCTTGCACAATGGGAGTGAACATTATGATCTATAAGGTTTTCACCAGCTGAATTTCAGAAGTAGATTGCCAGACTTTTCTTCTTACTCTTAGTCTGAAAGCTGCTGAAACCTATACAGAATCACAGCAACTTACAAGCCTCCAGTGACAGACGGGTAGTATGGGTGCACTTGAAAAGCACTGGCCAGGAAATGAACCTACGTCTTCTCCACGAAAAGCAAGACTTCTACCACTGAATCACCACTGCCCTCTCTATTGGCCATTAACTCCCTGCTAACTTCTAATAACCCTGCTTGTCCAGTAAGGAAGGTGACAACCAAGCTAATCTTGAGAGAAAAATTAAGTATGCATCATATAGTAGAAAATGAGAAAGCAAGTTACTTCCCCTCTGTAAGTGAACTGGAGCTTATTTTTCAATATTAAACTCAGTGCTAGCATTTTCTTTGTTTCAGGTGCTAGAAGAGAAGATAGTCAAGGAATATAAAAAGTTCAGGAAGGTAAGACAAGGTCTGGGGGCAGTAGCAAGAAGGTAGAAATGAGGATTTTTATTTTTTGACATGGATGCTCTTTCTCTCTGCAGCGGTACCCAGGTTACAGGGAAGAAAAACGTCGCTGTGAGTACCTGCATCAGAAATTATCCCACATTAAAGGTCTCATCCTGGAGTTTGAGGAAAAGAATAGAGGTAGCTAAAGCTGTCAAAAGGCTCTTGATCCTCTGCCCAGTGAGATATGAAGGAACACAGCTATGAACTAAGTAGAGTGCAACTGTCTGCTCTTCTTATTGTTGACCACTTGAGTCCATGGTGGCAAGTAGGAGAGCTGTTCTACGTTTTGGGGTTTGATTTTCATTGTTGCTGTATTTTAATTTTTAGGGTTGGGCACAGTGCCAAGACTCCAAAGCTGTGCCCAGAAGTAGCAGATGTTTGGCATCTTAATTTTTAGTTCAGTCAGATCACTCTCACATCCTGAGAAATTACACCATTTCCAGAACAAAATACCATGAGGATTTTAGACAAACTAAGTGATCTTAGCCTGGTAGTCTCCCTGAGGAAACAGTAAGAGTTATTGGTAACAAGCTAAAGGAACTTGTAACACACTTGGATGTAATGGACACTGCCTTATCAGACGATGTTACCCCCATGTACTTTAATTTTTTTCACAAACATGATTGAAAAATTGAAACTGCTTTTATGTCCTTTGTACAAGTTTATATGCTGTTGTTAAATCCTCCAAGGCAGTGGTTCTTGTGCCTAGCTGTACAACTGAACCATTTGGGGGGCTCTCTAAAAGCCCTGACTCCAGTCGAGGTCTTATGAGTTAGAATCAAAGCACTATGAATGATCCTGATAGACTCTTTGCTATAAAGGCTCTACCAAATCCATTTTATAATTGACAACTAAAGATTACAGTAGTAATAAAGTTTTCATTTTCTAAACATAGGTATTTAAAGGACCACCTAAAATTAGGACTCCTATCTGGAATTATCTCAGGAGCTCTGGTGGCTAAAATGATAATATGATTTGGCTTTACCCACAAAAAGGAAGAAGGAAATAGTTTAATTAATTTGAACAAAGGTGATCACTCCAGTCCTATCCTTTCCATTTCTCATTGCTGCAGAAGAAAGTGGTTGTTACTATCTTTCCCAGTTCCGCTAGAGAAATTAATGGGCCATACCTAGGCTTTGGGAGAAGAGAACTGCATCTAGTAATGTCAGCAATTCCTGAAAGAGTTTGGATGGAAACTCAACTTGATGCGACACCCACGCAGGGCCTTTCTAGGCAGACAACAACCCTCGGGAGGTATAAAAATATAGTAAGCTCAGCTGCATGGCAAGGATAAATAGCAACCTATCCTTGGGGCATGGGCAGAGCTAGAAATAACCAACCGGAAAGGTCCCTAACACATTCAAATCATTAAGTTAGGGGCTTAGGTAATAAGTATGGACAGAAAGAGATGAGAAATTTGGATTCACAGGTGATAGCTTTGAACCCAGTTATTTGGTCTAGAGCTACACTGTTCAATATGGTAGCCACTAGCCTTGCATGTGGCTATTTAAATGTAAATTTATAAAAATTCTAAATGTAGTTCCTAGCCACATTTCAAATGTTCAACAGCTGCATATATTGGACAGTGCAGATTACAGAACATCTCCATCATTGTATGTAGGAAATCTATTGGACAGTGTTGATCTAGAGAAACTCTAGTTCTCTATCCCATGGAAAAAGACAGTTTAAAGGGGGCTCATTTATTGTTATTGTTCCAAATGTACAAAAAAAAAAATTAGAAAATAACCCCCAACTCAATCCCTCCCTTCCCCACAACATTTCCCCAAACACAAATAATTTTTTCCCAAATCACAAACATAAACTGGTCCTGATGTTTCCATAAACAGTGCAGCTAAGAAAAAGTTTAGAGAAAATTTAACAGGATTCAGGTTATAGCCATTGCTGTCCTCTCAGAATAATCCCATGTGGGTCCCAGTCCTCCCCAACAGTTTTCCCATCTCTGGTGGAAGAGTCCTTTTACAAAGTGGTATTTTTGGCTGCTGCTTTAGAGGTCCTCCTGTGCCTTCTTCTTCTTCTTGGGTTTTTCTTCTTGAATTATAGGGGGGTTTGTAGCCTCTCGCTGTAGGTAGCTAATAAAATCGTTTAATTCACGGCCACCCTGAAAATAGAAAGATTACTCTGAAAATTTAACTTTTTTATAGAACCCTAGATTTTTCCCCCAATAGGAAGACTTTGGAGTTTATAAAAGCTCATTAATAGCCACATATATTGACCATGAGAGTTTCAACAGGTTCCAGTTAAATAAACTCAGTTGAAGAACTAGATATATACAAGTGTTTGTGTGTGTGTTTATGGGGAGATGGAATAATGCACTTACTTCGTATTTCTTTGGATTTAGCTTCTTGTTGGCTGGAGAGAAGTAGATGGTAGGAAAACTGGAGAAAGAAAAAAAAGTTCATTTATTTCAGGTTGTAAGTAATTGTCACATATACTTTCCCAATAACTGCTTGTGGGAAGAACTTCTGTTCACGGTTTCTAATCTAACCAGCTACTATCTCCATCAATGGCTAAGTTATATTCTATGAAAACTCAAGAATATGAGAATTTATAAAATTTGTGGCAGTCATGTGGGCCTACATTGCAGAAAGCATCAGTCCTTAACTGCAATACAAGGAACTCCAAAAAACCATGTCCACTAAAGAAATGGTTTCCTGATAGTTTATAAGCTTATTTTTCCCCCCTATAAAATGCCTAGAGACTTTAGTTTTTGTTAGTTTTGTTTGTTTTTAATCTGCTTACCCTCTGACTTCATATGGAGAAGGCACATCATTGGCTGTGGCATCCATCTTGGCTATCACAATATTTGGGTCTTTGCTGAGCTGTTAAGTTAATGGATGTATCTTTAAATATATCAAGTTTTCAGTGATTAAGGGACACTTACCTATTTTTCCGCCTATAACATATAAGTAACATGCATAGGAAACTACTGAGTAAGGGGGTTGCTTGCAAACTTCATAATGTGCACATTATTTGTGTAAAAATGCAGTAATCAAATCAGGACATAAAACATCTCTTGGCTCCTAAAATTAAGACTCTGTATACTGCCACCTTCAAATTTACCTGGGCTGAGTAAGAAATTACAAGGGCTAAACTGAATGTTTTAAGATGAAGAAATTAATGCATTCATAAAAGCTATTACCAAAATCCAGAAATCACTGGATAAAGACTAAGCCTAAGACATAGTCATAATCCAGAATGACTTCTGTCTCTAATTTTATCTTCAGAATAAGGGTTCACACTCACCTTTTCTCCCAGTTCTTTATACTTAGGCTCCAGATTTTTACAATGACCACACCAAGGGGCATAAAATTCAATCAGCACATCTTTATTTTCATTGTTTACTATCTCATCAAAATTCTCTGCTACCACTACCTAGAAAACACAGAATATTCACGAGTTGAAAAGGCATCTTCAAGGATAAATTCATGAGCTATACTTATCTCTGGACCTAAGAGCAAAGGTGTCCCTTTGAAGACTAAAGTGCACCCAAGCCATGGCATTTTCAATCGCCTGATATGCATGTGACAGCTGCATAATGTATAATGAAGACCAAAGAATAGGGAAGACCAAGACCGAAGAGTTGATGTTTCTGAGTTGTGGTGTTGGTGACAAATACTGAAAGTACTATGGACTGCCAAAAGAACTAACAAATCGTCCTGGAAGAAGTGCAGCCAAAATGCTCCTTGAAGTGAGAATGGCCAGACTTTGTCTTATCTACTTTGGTCATGCTGTCAGAAGGGACCATTCCTTGCAGAAAGATATTATGTTTGGTAAAGTGGAGGGTCAACAAAAAAAAGGGAAGGCCCTCAATGAGATGGATTGACACAGTGGCTGCAATGGGTTCAGGTTTAGCAATGATTGTGAGGCTGGCAAAGGACAGGGCAGTGTTTCGTTTTGCTATACATAGGGTCGCTATGAGATAAGAGACAACTCGATGGCACCTAACAACAATCACTCTCAAATCTGACGTGCTACAGCTGAAAAGAAGTCATGGAAATGCCAGTCACATTTAAAGACCATATTAAAGATGCTGACATCCTCCAGAAACCAGTAAACTTTCTTGTCTGTCACTTGTTAAACTATGTTTAGGAAATCTAAGTAGTACCCAACTCTTCCTTAAAATAATCTCATAATAATCTTTCAATCCCTATTTTAGGGGTTAGTATGTTCTATTCCGAAGGGTAATTTAGTCCTAATATAAATAACACCAGAAAATTCTATGAAGGTTTTATACATCTCCTCCTATTGAACATTATGAGGTCTGCCAATGTTTTCTTATGACTCAGGGAGCTGAAGAAGAAAAAAAAAAGCCACTAAGGTCTTTACTTAGACCTAACATTGTTCTGGAATAAAGAAATAAGGGGCAGCTTCTCACAGGTGTGTAAGCACCTCACCTTCACAGGCCCATCATTGCTCTCTGGGATAGGCTCAGACTTCAGGTATCTCTTCAGGTTGCCGTCAAAATAATCCTGTAGGAATCTCTCAAGAGCCTTGCCATCACGCCTACAGATGGAAAGACAGGGTCAGATTTGTTCATTTATTCTCACCATGGAGCAGATTAAAATCAGTATCTTAGTTTCTACATAGTTTAGCTTCAATTTCAAGGTTGGCAGGAAACTGGATACTAAAAATGGGCTTTTATCTGTCACAATATGCAGAACTACTGACTGAACAAGAAACCAACCACCTCCTTCCATTTCTAGTGTATTCTTTGTGGATTAAAAAGGTCAGGGATCATGAGATAAAACTGACAATAGCAACTCAAAAGATTAGATAGGAAACTTAGGGGGCTATGAGTTTATGTTAATGGATGAACAGTTTGAAAAAAGGATGAAAATGGTTGCACAATTTGAATGTAATGAATGTTACTGAATTCTAGAAATTGTTGAATTGGTTAATGGTCTGCTGGGTATATTTTCAACAACAACAAAAATAAAACCAAAAAAAGATAAAAGGTCAGGTAAGGATGAGAGTATTGCTCTTCTGGAGATTCATTTGTAAAACAGAAAGAAAAAAACAGGAAGAACCAGGTCTTATTTTCTGTTCTGCCTTGACCCCCAAAAGTCTCAGAAGGTAAAGGTAAAACTTCTATGTCCGGAGTCTTAAGATCTTTCCAATTCCTTGT